CCCTCAGGTGCCTTGTCACAACCTTTGAGGTACGTATGAGCCCTTTTCTGTCCTGCGCAGGCTGGACAGCGACCTTCCGGGATCTTAGTATAAGATCTTCCTTCTTCCTTTGGCTTCCTAGCTCCTAGAGCAGTCTCTGTCGCACTGAACGACGTACCTGATTTAGGGAGATACTTCCTGGTGGAAGTGAAGCCTAGAAGGTCCAATACCAAATGGTTATTGGTACTAATCGGAAGGGGGGTTTTGTACAAACCGAAAGCTTCACACGTTGCTAGGTCCGCTGTGGGACTACACTCGAGGGTCATTCTTAGATTCCTCATCTGTTCGATGGAGAACAAAATGGGAACTCTCCCCTGATCCAAAACTTCTATGGTTGTATCTCTTCTTGGAGTTGTGTTGAACCATAGAGTTACACGCTCCTTGATAAGAGCTGTTTCACTATCTGCGAAAGAGAACTTCGTGTTCGAAGGTGAGAAAGTGAAATCAATCATGCCTGGGGCACGTTGCTTCACGGCCTTGATAAGCCTGTTCACCGCATAGCGAGAACCCATAGCCCTAGTACAACCTGAGTCAAGTATGACAAAGGTAGGGTTCTTATCAAGATTGATCCGCTCTGTGAGAGCAGATAGGACGGTGTGCTGCAACGGAAACACAGCTGTTGCAGTTTCAACACCTTGCCCCTCGGATGGTTCAAAGACCTGGGGCACGTAACTCACTGATGAGTTGTACACGGGTTCTTGGTGCGCGCTCGGATCTGTGCCTCTACCTGATGATCCTGCTAGATTTCTTCTCTTCTTTCTCCGTGTTTTTCTTCGTGAGGCTTGTGATGCATAGTATGTATAAGACGTTTGATCGTCATAAGCGGCATAATTCCAACTGGAGTCAATATAATAACTGTCCTCATACCATGAATCCCAGCTCGGTGCGGTGGAACTTTCATAGGCCTGTGGAGATCCAGTTTGGTCTCCTTGTAAGGAGGCAGACTTAGCTGTATCCTTACCTTTGCCTTTTGCCTTTGCACCCTTGAAGGAGCTTCCTTTATCTCCTTTGTCCTTTCCTTTTCCTTTGCCTTTTCCACCTTTTCCTTTTTCTTTTCCTTTGCCTTTACCTAAATAGCTGGAATCAGTTGGATCATGTTCTGCCTGGTTGGCTCTCCCTTTTCCGCGGTATGACCTAAAACGGCCACGTCCTTTTCGCTTGCCACCCTTTGCTCTTCCCGGTGATCCGGGACGCATTCTTGGTCTTCTTCCCTTTTTGCATCTCCTTGCAACGAAGGCCTCATGGTCGTCAACTGTCCAGAAGACAGCTTCTTCATCCTCGGCGGCAAGAAAGCCTTCCTCAAGGGTGTCTTCGTCTTGGAGCCAGAATCCATCGACTCCATCGTATTTACCCTGATCGAGGATGAGGAAGTTTCGACCTCCGCGTTTGCGGCGTTGGTCTCTCCTTCCATGGCGGTCCTTCTTGTGAGAAGAGTGCCGAATGTTGGGATCCTGCAGACCAGTTCTGGTCGTTGAGAACTGATCGGACATGGTCTGCCGTACCACAGGGTACGTGTAGGTCTCAATTCGGTGACCTTGGTTGGTCAATGCTGTTACCAACCTCTCACGTTGCATCTCATTTAGGTCGGACTGCACTAGGAATAGGAGAGCTAGGAGATTATCATTTAGAGGAAACGCTCTTCGATGATTATCAAGGCGTTCCTTGTTCCATGTTTCGAAGAAACGTGCGGCGTATGTGTCTCTCTCGGTTGCATCCTGTAGGCGCAAGAAGGTTTGATCTGCCTGCACAGCCTGCATGAAATCTGGATTGGCATCTTCCAGAGCTATCTCTGGTAAGAGATCCATCCATGAGTTTTTCACGCGCTGTAGCACGATCTCAAACTTGGCAATCCAAGTCACAAAGTCTTGGTTGCCCTTCCATGCCTTGAATAGGCCGAGGGAACGCCACAGGAAAACGTACTGTTCTCCTTTCACGAAAAATGGACGCATCTTCTTCTTGAAGTAATCTACTCCATCTGGGGCTGCAAGCCTTTCTCGGTTCAGTGATTCCTTTTGTACTGCGGCCAATCCGGAGAGCCTCGTCTTGAGAGACGGACCTCTTTTGGTGGCATCCAGCGTTGTTATGTCGCACCAGTCGTCAATCAACTGTTCATACTCAAACCACGAGGTGGTGCCATCATAGGCAGGCGCGATCTTGGGCGTTATGCCTAATGATGCAAGCATGCGGTCAGATTTTGCATATGACTGTGCGACATAAGTGGCTGGACCTTGGGAGGTCTCTTCGTTCTCATATCCCCCGGAGGATTGGGAACTGTCGTCGGCTTCGCTATGCGAGCTCGACATTGTGCTGCCTCTTATCCGCTTGGTTAAGCGTTCGGCGAGGCCGACCGCTGTAGCGGACTTTAGGAGGCGGGCGTCCCTTTCCGGGCTCCGCTACCAGAAAACTGTGCCGATACACCCACAAGGAAATGCTCCTTGTTAGGAGGTGTATGACCAGTTTATTCCCTAAGGATCAAAGGGCAGCGCCCTGCACACGGACAGTAGTTGTTTTGTCTTGCTACGCAAGGAGAGCTTGTCTTGTCTCAATATGGTAAAACCACTGTGAGCCAATGGGCAGCGGAATGTATATGTATGAGCATGCAGCCATTGCTGTAGGTACCTGTTAGAGCTACCCCTTTAGAGGTTTATGGAATCACCCCCACCCCCACCCCCACCCCCACCCCCACCCCCACCCCCACCCCCACCCCCACCCCACCCCCACCACCACCACCACCACCACCACCACCACCACCACCCCCACCCCCACCCCCAGCCCCCAGCACCAGCACCAGCAGCAGCAGCACCAGCACCAGCACCATCACCATCAGCATCAGCATCACCACCATCACCATCACCACCACCACCACCACCACCATCACCATCACCATCACCATCACCATCACCATCACCATCACCATCACCATCACCATCACCAACAACGCCAACGCCAACGCCAACGCCACCACCACCACTCGGGACATCATCGCCAGGAGAAGATGCTGGTTGTTTGCGGTGTTCCGGCAGTCATGTGGCATTGCGGCAGTGGCGTGGAATGGAGCAAGAAGATCTACCACTGGCTTCTGGTTGTTATTCTCCTTGTCATCGCGCTCTCGAACAGCTTCCAGCTAGCTTCTTGTCACACTCCCCCTGCAAACGTAGAAATTCGCTATGGGTTCGCGGGTGCTTCTGTTGCACTAGGTCCAGGATTGGGCTTGGCTAAACCGTAAACCCTAAACCCCAAACCTCCGCCACTCCTGGCCCATGTGGCCTTAAAAAACAACTGAGAAACCCTAAACCCTAACCCCGGGTCCAGGATTTGGCCTGGGCCCTGTCCGGAGCCCACAGGCTTGTCGGGGTAGCTACAGCCAACGCAACGACGGCCCAGAATCACGCAGACAGGTGGTTGTGGTAGTAGTAGCAGTAGTAGTAGTAGTAGCAGCAGTAGCAGCAGTAGTAGTAGGAGGAGCAGGAGAAGGAGTAGTAGGAGTAGGAGTCGTATGGGCCTATGAAGGCCTGCCAGTTACATACTGCGGAGTTCAGGCCTGACGTTTGGGCTGCAGCAGGTGCTTTACACGCTGACTGCACACCCGCGATCAAACTTCAAAGTGTATCGCTTCGTACTCCTCGCAGCCTGACATCAAAAATCATCTGTGACAGTTATCCTACGAAGCAGTGACGCCAAGAGAGACCCTTCAATAAAGTATCAGAGAGGAGTCCTTCGATGGAAATGGTAAACGTAGAATTTAAAGGCTGAAACCACCCCCTTGTTGCCAGCACCGAGGTTGTATGTGACGCGAAACCGGCACTTGTAGAGGGGCTTTGCAGCTCCACACAGGCCGGAGGATTGGGGGTCCTTGAGTTTCTACCCTAAGGGTCCAAGTACCCAAATAGCAGGGTTTCAAGGTCCCAAGACCATTCAGAGTATGAATTTTGTGACCTAAAACCTTGCTATTTGGGTACTTGGACCCTCTGGGCTACAAATCAATAATCAATCAAGCTGGCTGTATGGGATTTGTGTGTTGTTGCCTGAAATTGGCTGCGGTGGAGCAGGTCTATTGATACTGCTGATGGACAAAATCCTGCATTACTCATTATAAGGAGTATACCATAGTTCCCATAGTTTAGAGTCCTTAGGGTCATGCAGGATTTTGTCCATCAGCAGTATCAGACTGAAGTGGCAGGATCCCTGCGTGGGTCTCGTATTCGAGGAGCTCATTCTGGTAACGGGGGCGATTTTGGGCATGCCTTTTTGCACTATCCCCACAGTCACTAGTACCATGGTGGCTCTTGCTTGTTCTGCTGCTGCTGCGTCATACTAGTCGTCGCAGTCGTCGTCCAGATTGTCGTCGCTTTGGCGCGGCGGTCGGTCATCGTTGCCTTCTTCGAAAGTGTAGTGAGGGTACAATGACGGACGACCAGTTCTAGTTGTACTGATGTAAGTCTTGGTGCTATAGTCGTAAGAGTTCTTTAAAATTTGTCTTTGGTAGTCGTAGTAGTAGCAGTAGTAGTAGTAGTAGTTGTTGTTGTTGTCGTCGTTGTTGTTGTCGTTGTCGTTGTCGTAGTAGTCGCAGCAGTAGTAGTTGTAGCAGTAGTATTTGTTGTAGTAGCAGGAGTAGTAAGGGTAGTAGTAGTAGTAGTAGTAGAAGTAGTAGAAGTAGTAGTAGTAGTAGTAGTAGTAGTAGTAGTAGTAGTAGTAGTAGTAGTGGTAGTAGTAGTAGTAGTAGTAGCTAACGGATCGTTAACTGTCGTGCGTTTTCGTGCATTTCTGAGGATTCGGACTTGAGGGGGGTGGGGTGGGGGGGGGGGGGGTAATAACGTCCGTGCTGCGTGAGCGTGGGCCAAAGTTGATCCGATGCAGTTTGCGCGACCAAAATTCACCAATCCTCCTCAATCAATACGGATTCCCAGTGTTTTCATCCTGATTCCAATCTGTCTTCCACTCAACTCAGATGAATCTCTCAAATCTGACGAAGTTCATCCGATGCGTTTTCCTGCGATAGGCCCATCTCACGAAGATGATCCGATGCAGCTGTCGCGACAAAAATTCACCAATCCTCCTCAATCATCACGAATTCCCAGTGTTTTCATCCTGATTCCAATCTATCCTATCTTCTGCTCAACTCAGATGAATCTCTGAAATCTGACGAAGTTCATCCGATGCGCTTTCCTGCAATAGCCACATCTCACGAAGATGATCCGATGCAGTTGTCGGGACAAAAATTCACCAGTCCTCCTCAATCATCACGAATTCCCAATGTTTTCATCCTGATTGCAATCTCTCCTATCTTCTGCTCCACCCACATGAACCTCTGAAATCTGACGAAATTCATCCGATGCGTTCTCCTGCGATAGGCACATCTCACGAAGATGATCCGATGCAGCTTTCGCGAAGATATGCACAAATCCGCGGCAATTCCCAATGTCTTCATAATGCGACGAATATGTCGTTTTCATTGATCTCTCTTTGCTGCCACATTCGCGGTTGAAAAAATCATTGCTTACTCATCTTCGAAACCACGTAGAAGAAACAAACACAATCTTTGGGGTAAACGGCAAAATCGCACTTTGGATTGTTGACATCACGGAAACCTCGTTGTGCGCGGTGTTTTCGGCCTTTCAACCACGCGAAAAAGAAGACCCCAAAAAGTGACACGCCGAATCTCGCAAAGTGCCACGCCTGCCATGGTTTCCACTCAACTAGCTCTGAAAACAGCATTTCTTTTGAGGCCTCGTTTTCGGTATGAAAATGCGCTCCCGCTGTGGCGAAACGCGTATTTGCACAAAAAATGCGCGACGGATGCGGTGGTAGTAGTAGTAGTAGTAGTAGTAGTAGTAGTAGTAGTAGTAGTAGTAGCCGCAGTAATTAGTCGTAGGTAGTAGTAGTAGTGGTAGTGGTAGTAGTAGTAGTAGTAGTAGTAGTAGTAGTAGTAGTGGTAGTGGTAGTGGTCGTGGTAGTGGTAGTGGTAGTGGTAGTGGTAGTGGTAGTGGTAGTGGTAGTGGTAGTGGTAGTGGTAGTGGTAGTGGTAGTGGCAGTGGCAGTGGCAGTGGTAGTGGCAGTGGTAGTGGTAGTGGTAGTGGTAGTGGTGGTAGTAGTGGTAGTAGTGGTAGTAGTGGTAGTAGTGGTAGTAGTAGTAGTAGTAGTTGTTGTTGTAGTAGTAGTAGTAGTAGTGGTCGTGGTCGTGGTCGTGGTCGTGGTGGGCACTGGTACTGGTAGTGGCAGTGGATGTTACTGGCATAGGAGACAGTCGGAGCATGTTCTTGGGTCTGTGCCCAGCGTGGTGGTGTTGCTGTTGCCGTGATAGGGGCGTTGCGTAGTACTGTGGTGCTTGCGAGAGAAGTACTGGCAGCGATAACGTTTCACATAAGCAGCAGTGGTAGTGGTAGTCGTAGTGGTACTGGTAGTGACAGGTCGAAGCCACTCACCGTCCCCTAAGGGTCCAAGTACCTAATTATCATATACTCTCCAAAATACTAACCTACATAACTACTATCCGAAAACCGAGTACCTACCTATTGGGTCCTTGGGACCCTTAGGGTTCTGTCCATGGCAAGGCTGGCTTGTGCACAGACTTCGGCCTGGCAGTTGGCGCGTTCACATGCCTGTGGTTTTTCGGGGGTGCCCGTCTCTACCAACAGCGCACGGACACTCAGCAGCTGCTTGAGTTTGGGAAGAGCGGCTGGCGTGGAGTTGAACGTTTCCAGTTCCATAGTGCAGGTTGAAGGGGACAAGGCGGCTGAAGTGCAGGGCTGAGATGTTAAGATGCGAGATAGTTGTCTGTTTCAGGAGCAAGGAGCAGCAGCAGAGAATGGTTCGAGAATTGCTAGCAGAAAGCGAGCGACTTGAAATATTGCTCCATCATAGTCCCCGAATATACCCATACAGTGGACCTCAAGAAGGTCCCCATCGTATACTGTTCCCATGACCACAAGGCTGAATCGCTTCTTTGAGTCATAACCTTCGATCCGTAGATATATGGGTGGTTGTCAAAATCATGGCCCTTTTGGGGTCCGTATTATGATACGGCCCCTAATATTTAGGGTACCCCAAAAGGGGCCATAATTTCGACAACCCCCCCATATCATAGACCGTCTTAAGAAACCCCACATCCTAGGAGCCCGGGGCCTGATCCCCACCTTTCGGGCTTTTGGGGATTAGGGTTTAGGGTTTAGGGTTTAGCCGGGGTTTCGCACTTCATGCTTGAGCTTCAGGGTTCACGGCCTACAGCTAGTCCTACTACTACTGCTACGAGTATATCAGTTCTACTACGACGCCTAGATCCTGAATCCTAAAAGCCCAAACCCTGGGCCTCAAACCCCTAAACCCTAAACCCAAACCCTGGGCCCTAAACCCCTGCTAGTTCTCTAAATTAGGGTCCCTTTGATGGGGTTCATTGTTATGAGGGTGCCGTACTATCGCGGGAACCTCAAAGGTACCTAGTTTAAGAACTTCCCAGTAACTTCCCGTATACTTGGACCGTAACGGGGTCTTATATAGATACTTTAAGGTCCTTTCAGGTCGCACTACATACTACATGTACAGATACACTGAGTTACATAGTGGAACTGTAGGCTTAGCAGACCGTGTGTTCTTATATATCAATGCAGAATCTCCAGGAGGCCGTAAGCCTTGATCTAACAGAATTAGCCCTAAGCATCCATGTACCCCAACAGTAGATACATTGGCCAAGAACTAAATAGGGACCACTTTCAGGCTAAAGTATATATAGTTTTCAGGTATACATGGACCCGTAGGGTAGACACATGAGGACATGCTGCGGGACGCGCGCAGCGTTCTGATTGCACTTCTGGCCGATAGCAACTTGCTGAATAGCTGGCACCGCGTCATAGGCCGAGCTCGGGGAGGGCATCTGGGAAATCCTCGCAGCTACTGTAGTTTAGACATCCACCCCAAAGCCCTGAACCCAAAGACTCAACTTGGCCCCGCAACGTTCCCTGGCTACAATACTTGCCACAAGCTTAGCTTTTGTGTATCACCTAAACCGCCCAGCTGTGCGCCGACTCCTGATGACTTTCCCTATGCTTCCAAGGACCCCCTTGTGGGTCTTAAAGGGGTGGAGGGCACTCATGATAAGGTCCTTGGAAGCATCGGGTTTCTAAGAGGGAATCAAATGCACCAGGGGCCCATCGACATGGACGTAACGTATGTCATTGATCTTCTGTTGTTGTTATGTGTTTAGGGAGGAGGGATTAGGGATTCGGGCTTAGGGTTTGCAGTGCGGTATAGGTGTAGAGGTCGGTATAACTATAGTCTGTGATTATAGTAGCAGCATCACCTCATAGCATCTCGCATTGTTGTAGTATTTTTCTGAACACCCTATTCGCTAGTCGAGTATTCAAGCCCGCATTAGGTTTGGGATTGTCTAGGCTCCCATGCCACCTGGGGCCCTTTTCCGTGTTAAGGGGTGCCTTTCAGAACTTTTGTCTTGAAGAAGGGTTCAGTAGATCCAAGGCTCCGTGATATTGAAGTACCTGCATAGCCACAAGGCCAAGGATTGAGCTACATATATACATGGACCCTCAGGAGCTTCTCTTGCGGGCTTGTAAGCTATGGCAGCAGCTACACGGGTTGAGGGCCTAGGATTTTTGTTCACCTCGCAGTGACGGTCCCTTATTAGGGTTAGGGCTTCGGAGATGTGGTATCTGGGTCGAGACCTTTCTGTAAGAGCAGCCTTATGCAGAGCAGGCTTCTTTCACCCCTTATGAACCACTATATTGAACCTTAATAAACTTAGTTTTATACACCCAAAACGCTAAACCTGAACATTGAACCCTTAACCTTAAACCTAAACGCTGACCCCTTAAACCTGAACCCTAAACCCTAGGCCCTAAGTCCTAAACCTTGCCTAACTTGAATCCTTATCCCAGACTTGAACCCTGCAAACAGGCGTCGATGCCTTTGTCGCCCTATTTTTCTGGTTGGTCCTCGTCGGAGGACGAGCATTGCTACTGATCACCGCTGGAGACATGGACATTTTCTCCATTCAGGCGGTTTAGCTTTTAGGGTTTAAGGTTCGTGGGTTTAGGGTTGAGGCAGGGGGCTTAAGGGTTTAAGGGCCGCTAGGTTTTGGTTTAGCGCTTGGGGGGGGGGGGTTAGGGGAGGCTTACTGATTTGGGGCCGTTGGGATTGCTGGAGCTCCAGAGGTTCCAGATACAGTCACAGTACCACACCCTGGATTTCGGTACCCAAACGGTGGGGAGGTAGAAATAATGTAGGGGGACTCCTTAATGTAGTGATACTACAATGTACAGTTAAAACCTTTTCTAATTACTAAGGCCCCTACATCATGTGGACTCGCTGGGCAGACTTGAACGGACCATGACTTGCATCGATGAGTCTACAGTTATCACTTAGGGGTTTGGGGTTTTTTAGGGTTATAGCTTCTGAGTCTACATGGCATCCAGCTGGCCAAGTCTGAGAATACCGGACAGGATTCCCTGGTGTGACCATTTCTACGCCATGTCAGGGCTTGTAAGGCCTCATCCCCAATTTTAGGGTTTAGGGTTTAGGGGCCAAACCCTCCTGCAAGCCCTTTGCTCGAAACCGTACTTGGAACCTTCCTCTCCTAAAGCCCCTAAACCTGAACGTACCAGAAACCAACATCTGAAACCCCAAAGCCCAAAGAACTGAAGCGGAGCACTGTTGAACCGACCTTCCCTATAGTCTCCATTGTAGTTCCTTTTTGGGGTTACCTTATAGGGTTCTTAATTATATAATTGGTTAAACCCTAAACCCTAACCCCTAAACCCTAAAACAGGAACTACAATGGAGACCATAGGTATAGCCACAGTTCAGGATGCCCCATACAAGGCGAGCGAATGCAAGTCTGTGTTCTCAGCGCACTAAATTTCGGAACGCCCATGAAACTTCACCCCTAAATCCTAAGCCCTGAATAATCAAAGTCCTGAGCCCTCAAAACTTCAAACCTAAATCCTATATACCCTCAAGTTCTAGAAGCCGCATAGAGCTCCACAAGAGCTCCATAAAAGCTATGTGAGGCGGTTTAGGGAAAGGTTCAGGGCCCATGACCCTAAACATAGACTCTAAACCCTGAACCTCGTACACCTAACCCCTAAACCCTAAACCTTATACACCTAAACCCTAACCCCTAAACCCTATAGTATAGCCCAGACCAAAAAACCAGTATGCCTTGGCAAGGCGTACGTCGGCTTTGTGCTCTCCGTGAGCGTTCTGACGTCGGCCGGATTTCTTCAGGACGCCGGTGAGAAGTTTAGCGTTTGCGGTTTAGGGTTTCAATCCTTAAAGATCCATGTGAGTTGTTCTCATAATTTAGGCTCTCAATTTCGGTTCCCAAAATAGCCACCTTATTGAAACTGAAAAGGGTCCTGATTGAGAGAACTACCCATGTGCCTAAGCTTTACAATAGCTTTGTAGAAGCGGCTTCTAGGATCCAGAGTGGTTGCATCGCGGTTTAGTCTTCATCCCATTATGAATCAATGAATGTGTGATTTTATATAGGTATACTTCACGGTCAAGGTATGTAAGGAATCTTTCAGAGTTTAACGCCGCAGAGCTCTTGACATGAAGGTTTAGAAGAGGACTTCAGCGTTAGGATTCAAGCGTCAGGGATGTGTAGGGTTTGGTCTTGTCTGGTGTTGTGTCAGGGTCGGGACAGTGTAGGCTTAGGGCTGCTCTGCAACACCCCCGAAAAAATGCTTCAGAGTTCTGGTTGCAAACTTGGGGTTTAGGGTTTGGGCTTTAGGGTTTAGGGTTCAAGTCTGTGGTCTGAGCACACAATTTGGCATAATAACTTTGAGGCTGGGTTGTGCAGTCAGTGGCCTTGATGCGTAGACATGGCACACTAAGCTCTCGAGATCAATGTTGTGTGACCCTTCGCATCAACCTCGAGCCATACTCTACTTGTCTACTTAAACGTTTAAAGCAAAACACCCTGTCTTCCGGGATGAACCCTGAACCCTAGGCCTTAGTTACTAAACCCAAGCTGGAATTCCGTCGAGGCTGGATTGACCACTGTCATCCGGGAGTCTATAGGCCTTATAAGTGTTTTGGGTTTAGAGTTTAGGGTTTAGGGTACGACAGTGGTCGCCACAAGGCTTGGGTGGTTGGGGTTCGGGCTGATGTTGATGAGCGGCAAAACCCGGAACTCCAAAGCCTTGAAATTCAGAGCCTCAGCAAAGCAAGGCCCAAGCCGTCATACACCCGAATACCCAACTCCCGGCGGTTTAGGGTTTAGGGTTTAGGGTTTCCAGTACTCCAATACCCTACTTCCCACACCGTGAACCCTAAACCTCAATGCAGATGTCCACCTGGCGGGGTCTTTCACTTCGTATCGAGAGCTTCATCGAGCCCTTTTTGAAAAACAAGGCCGCCAGGTACGGTTTATGGCACCGGATGCAGGGATTGTGGTCTCGGAGTTTCGGCATTTCAGTGCTCTGCGAGCTTAGAGCTCTTTTTTTATTTGCTGGCTTTAAGGATTACGGCGATGATTACGGGGGTTTAGGATTTAGGGTTTCAGCAGTGGCCCGAAGGGCGCAGGTGTCATGCTCCGTGGATCCCTGTTCAAGACAACCTGGGAACAGCAAAAGCTACACATGGCCTAGGAAGAAAACAGTGGTTCAATCGGAGAAGCCGTATTAAGATCAGAAAGCATACATCGGGGCTGTTCAGAAGAATTCCTCTCGAATGTTTCGCAGTGACGGTTCGGGCTTGGGTTGCAAAGGCCAGATCTTGTGCCAAGGAGGCTCTTTAAATATATGGCCTCAAGTAACCAGTGATCGTAATTCCTAGGGCTCCCGAATAGAAGCAAACTCTAGAACATGCCACGGCCCTATTACGCAGCAAGCAGGTCAACTGCCAGCAGATGAAGGATTCTCGGCATCTCGTGGTGCGGGTGTTAGGTATTTGCATGGGGATACTTCCCCAAATCATCATAGTAATACATAACTTAATGGAGAAAACCCTACATTCTAGTGTATAGGGACTTAGAATCACTAAGATGCCTGGTGCGGATCGCGAAGCAGAGGTACTTAGGACCCTGGGGGTCTTACCCAAACACGTAGAGCCGCCAGCCTCCGACGGAAAGTGCTTCAACCCCAAAGAGCTCAAGGTATCATGGTTTAGGGTTCAGGCATGAGGGTTCAGGACTTATGGTTTAGGCATCAGCGTAGGTCGGATCTAGGAACTGCCGGTCCTAAGGTATGGTGTAATCTGTATAACACTTTGGGCTCCTCCGGTTTTCACCAAAAACCCTGAAAACCACAACCTGGCAAAAAGGGTCCTTATAAACACCAAAACCCTAAGCCGTAAACCATAAACACAAAAACTATCCCGGAGCAGCAAGGACCAGTGGCGTCTTCTTGGCGCCTGTATGAGGACAACCTCCCGGACCTATCAAATGAGCTTCCGATCTGATGAGATTTGGGAGTTTCCGAAATAGGGTTTGGGGGTTTAGGGTTTGGGGGTACCCTATTTCGGGGTTCTTAGAATAATGAACCTACTATTGGGGTTCCCTATTCTCGGGAACTCCCAAGCAAGGGCATTGGTAGTCGGAGTGGTGTTGTCGGGGCGTCTTAGACTCTAGCACTCTTCAATTCGGGGGTCCATGTGCTGTAGGTAGTTCTCTAATTATTGGGGTCCCCTTGTAGGTCCCGAAAACAGTACGGCACGCTCATTTAAAATGCACCCCAAAGGGATGGCTCAGGGCTCCGGGACTAGATGATTCTTTGAGCTTATGTATGGAGGGTTTTGGGGTGTAGGGATCACCGATTGGGGTTTCGAGTCTTAGGGTTTAGGGTTTTGAGTTTTCTGGCTTTCGGATATTGCAGTTTAAGGTCCAGGGAGTATAGTTTTGAGGTCTTGTATGCGTTACTTGAAAGCCATCTAGGGGCTTCAATTAGAATAGAGAGAGAGAAAGAGAAAGAGAAAGAGAAAGAGAGAGAGAGAGAGAGAGAGAGACAGAGCGAGAGAGAGAGAGAGAGAGAGAGAGAGTGCCTCCCAAGCCCCTGAGCAAAGCAAAGCAAAGCAGAGAGAGAGAGAGAGAAGAGACTCTTGCCCGACGAAAAGATTCCCCCCAGGTTCGATCGTGGCTGGTGCCACGACGGTACTCTGTGCAGTGGCCTTCTTGATCGACTTGCACTTCGGACCGCATTTGTTTCTGTCTCGGAGGTTTTGGGGGGAAATTTTGGTGAGGGCCACTGGTTGAGGATCTTTATGTCTTCTGAACCATAAGGTTGGGGAGAAATTTTGGGGCTGGTTGAGGATTCTTGCGTGTTTTTAGCCACAACAGGGACACCATCCGGATAAAAAAACGGAAGAGTCTGGAAGCCTGGAGGGAAAAGTCGCCCTAAGGCCCAGAACCCGTTGCCACTGTTAGCCCTAAACCCGAAACTCCAAGAAGCGCCGAAGCCAAGATCCGAACCAAAATGCCCTATCCCCGATCTCGTGGCCATTCTGGGGACAGGTATTTATATAGGTAGTGATTCGAGTATTTTTGGGCAGGTTGTGGGTGTATATAGGGCTCTATATAGGGGACCGCTAGAGACTTGCAAAGACTAATCCCTATGGCTTCTTCAGATAGCTGTGCTGTAATGTCTCCCCACCGTCTCCGAAGCCACATTCTCATTGTTAGGGCCAACGTGTTAAGGAAGTGGGTCGAGGTGTGCAAGACCCTACTACACTAAAACCCCGAGCTCTGTTTTCAACTTCATTTAACCTGTGAACCCTTCGGAATTCGGGAGCGATGATGCAGGGGTTCGGTCAGGCTGAAGGAGCCCAAGTATCTGTAGGCTGAGTTCGTCCGAAGGTTTCCCTTCAATACTTCTTTGCAGTTGTAGTTGCACAGCAGGTTTCAGGAATGCATCCACGTCTTCTACCCTATATCCCAGTTGGACCAAAGCTACAGAGGTTATCCTTGATCGACCGGCATTGCGCACTTGGCGCCAAACCGCAAGCCCCAAACATATCCAAACCGGAAGAGAGCCTTAACCGACAAGCCAAACAGTCTACAAACATCAGGCAGCGTGGGCACATGCTCGTGTCAACTCCCGCCTTGTTCTTCTGCCTGTTGCTGCCACTTTTGCTCGGCATTGTGTTTGGGCGAAGACACACCTGCCGAGTACACCAAATTGCAATATGAACATGGGTCGTTTAGAGGTTCCATTTTAGTATTTCAGCTGGATGTACAATTCTTGGTGCTTTACGAATAATTGCTCAGTATACTGAGAACTATTGCGCAGTGCCTTTACCCCTAAATCACCCCTAAACCCTTTAAACCCTAAACCCAGTGCCTTCACCCTAAACCCGGGCTTACTTGTTAGGGAACCTAAACATAAAGTATTGGAACCTGCCCCCTTACAGGGATGTTATACACACCGTACACATCCAGCAGCTGAAATTTGAACCATAGAATCGTCTCCACCCGCATCCCCCCTCCCGCCCTCAAAAAAGCCTTACATATAGTCTCCATTGTAGTTCCTTTTTTTGGTTTAACAAATTATATATTATGGATCCTATAAGGTAACCCAAAAAAGGAATTACAATGGAGACTATAGGTAGAATTCAGAAAATGGAATCTCATCTTTCCTGGACCTTCGCAGTTTCTTTGAGAGGGAGGGTTCGGGTATGGTTTAGGATGCATTAAAAACCACGGTTTAGGGTTTAGGGTTTAGGGGTCTCCAGGTGTAGAGACTTGAAGAAATGTGTGTCTTCAGGCAGATTGGCCTCAATAGCGTGTTGTCTTTGATCTGGTTTTTCCTAGACCCTAAACCCTGTTAGCCCTGAAAGGAGTGTAGCGTTATTGACATGTTTCTTCTTGTGATTTTGCTGAAGGCGGGTTCATTTGCAGAGTCCTGGAGCTTGAGCTTAGGGTTTAGATTGTAAGGCTTAGGGTTTGGACTTCAAGGCATAGGGCTTAGGTTTCAACAAAGGGCTTAGGTTTAGGGTTTAGGGTTTTGGAGGCTTTATGCCTAGGGTTTAGGGCTTCGGGTTTAAACTTTCGGCGTGGACTTACTTACTTAGAGTGCAGGACTCAGGATTTCGGGTTTAGGGCTTTGATCCTGGCCGCTCTCTGTCCCTGGGAAGCCTTACATATTGAACTTAAGCCCGAAACCTGAACTACAAACCCACAACCTACTGCTTTCAAACCGACCTCTAACACCAACCCCTTGTCTCAACCAGCTACCCTGTCTCACAGATCCGTAAACCCCGAACAGCACATTCCCAACAAAAGCCGTAAGTCCCATGCCTCAAACCCTAAACCTTAAACCCCAAAGCCATAAAACCCTAGACCCTAAACCCTAAAACCTAAAACCATAAAACCCTAAACCGCCTAAACCCTAAACCCCTCAGATTCTTGGTGCCTGCGGCCTTCACCAGCGTTGCTTGCGCACGCTTCCCTTCACTGATCAGCATGCTGGATCCTGGTGAGGCTCCTGGGCTCAGTGGTGACATGTGGGTGTTTCCGAAAATACTTACTTAGCCTATTGGAGAACTTTAAGCTTGTTGGCTTCATATATTTGGTCTAGCTTAACGTTTGAACTTTGTTTGGGCATGGTTATTGGAGAAGAGAGAATAGGGTTTAGGGTTTAGGGGTTTAGGGTTTAGGGGACCCTAATATAGTACCCTGAATAGTAGGATCCTTTCTACAAGGACCCCATAAATGAGGTACCCCCTAATTTTCGGAAACTCCCGATGTTGATCAGCACTTTCCTTAGAGTGGGGAGAGTGCCTAGGGAGTCGGGCCGGGGCACTGCCCCCTGTTTGCGGAATCTGGTGGAAAGGCCTTTTTTCGGTCCTGTCTGTGAAGACCAACATTCTGTTCAGCAAGAAGCAGAACGTGGTATTCTGTGCATTGCGTTGTTCTAACTCCAAGAAGCTGGAGCGTACAACTCAATCAAGACTGGGGACAAGGCAGGAAGGATTGTTGACACCTTCAGGCAAGCCAAGACTCATATACAGCAGCGGAAATATGTTTGACTAGATTCTGCAGGCATGGTGTGTTACGGGTACACGCGGTATGTCTGCATGCATGCACGTACGTATGTGTGTATCTATGCACGTGCGTACGTATGTATGTATGTATGTATGTATGTATATGTATATGTATGTATGCGTGTATGCGTGTATGTATGTATGTATGTATGTATGTATGTATGTATGTATGTATGTATGTGTGGATACATACATTCAGGCATGTATCTTTACATACATACATACGTAATTACATAAACACCCACATATATACATACATATGTACGTGCATACATACATACATACATACGTCCATGTATACATACACACACACACACGTGCGCACACAAACACAAGCACACATATATACATATATATATATATATATCTATATATATATATATATATATACACACACATACACTCATATGCATAATGTATGCATGTATACATGCATACATGCATACATACATGCATACATACATAGCAGATACACACACACACATCAAGCCAAGCAGAGCCAAGCGATTTAAAATTGCCGAACGGTTCAAACGTGTTTCTGATTGCATAACAATTGACCTTGTCTGAGTGAAGATCTTGTGCAACCCAAAACTCTCTCTCTCTCTCTCTCTCTCTCGCGGACCCTATATTCAACCCTAAACCCTGATAATAGCTCAGTAGGTACACATCATTTTCTGGAGGTTGGAGGCAAACCTCAAGCCACCCAGTCCCGAAAGGCCACAAGCTCAAAAACTCTGAAAACCTAGCCCCCAACGACTCCTAAGGCTCCCAAGCAGCAAAATTGAAGCTTCCTTGGAGCATTTCACAATCCCAGCCAACGCCAAACCCTCACTCCCCGTAACTCCTACGGAAGAGAAACCCTGCTGTTGATGATATAAATCCTGCTTACTTTAAGGACCCTAAACTATGGGAACAATGGTGTATTCTTCATGATGGGAAATGCAGGATTTATATCATCAACCCTAGCATCACAGGAGCTTGAAATCGAGTTCCACCAACTCGCCATCTTCCTGAGCCTCACCGACTGTGGCTGTTACTTGGGCTTGCTTAAGGCTTTAGGGATTAGTTTAGGGTTTGGGGTTTAGTTTAGGGTTTAGGGTTTGGTTTAGGGTTTAGGGTTTGGGGGTTTAAGGTTTAGGGCTTGGGGGTTTAGGGTACCGTGTAACGACTAGCTGTCCCAATGCGAAGACTCGCGTTCTAAGGGCTGCCAGGGCACCGTAATATAGTACCCTCGTAGTAGGATCAGGATCCGTATTAAGGACCCTCAAATAAGGTAACCCTACTTTTCGGAAACGCCTATGTTGATCCTAAGGGCTTTCTGCTTTAAACTTGCCGGGGTACTTAATAGTTTAGGCTCTGTTTTTCACTGACCAGAGTTTCGTTGTTGTTTACCCAAGACTCCCGGCTACCCTCTATTACGCATTATAGAATTATAGCTATAGAATCAGCTATACAGCCTCGATCAAAGGTGCTTGCGGGTCCTTAACGATTGGCGTAGGGTTGTTCATGGGTTCAAGAAGGGATGCTGTCAGTATTAGTCTTATTCCTGCTATTCTCATTTCATCATTATTAAATGTTCATGTGCATTTCTATTCAGTCTTATTAGTACTAGTAGTTCTTCTTCTCAATACTTTGCATCAAGATGAGTTTTCATTTGAGACTACATGTACTTTCATTGGTACACTCTCTTTACCACTATAGTATATTGTTAGTCAGAAATCTGAACAGTTAGAAAATTACGACAAGCGCTCTGGCGAGCCCCAAACCCTAAACCCTAAGCCCCAAACCTTAACCTGCACAAGGTTTCTTGTGGGACACCAAGCTGACTGTCGGTCTTCTCCAGAAGCCCGATTCATCCCATTTACGGTTTAGTGAATTCATCACTGTGGTTTTCGGGCTTGAGGTTTCGGGGTGTAGGGTTTTGGTGGGTAGGTTTCGTGTTTGACGGTTGAGGCTTTTTTGGTTTGGGGTTCAGGATTTGGGGTATTGTAGGGTTTCAGGGTTTATGCAGGTTTCTTTTGTTATGACTTTAGCGTTGAGGACTTTACGGTCTAGACTTTTAGGGTTTGGGTCTTTACATGGGTTTAGGCCTGAGGGTCCATGTACCTATGGACCTATGAAGGGTTTCCAAAAGCTGCTATAGGGTCGCGATCGTAGAGGGTTTGCAAAGGGGCGTCGTGTTTCTATAATATTGCCCGCATGGTCCATGTACGGCTGTATAAGCTGTACGTTGATCGTGAAGCACCCATACAGGATTTTCCGATCAACCAGGGGGTCATTAGAATAAGGATCCTCCTACTTAGAGTGCTATCTTGGGGTCCCCTATTTTCGGAAGTTCGCAATGTAGGAGTTGGTTCAAACCCAAAAGGGTACTGAAGGGATTCCGGCATTACTCTACACGTCCTTCGCCTCCTCTCCAGCCCTAATTACGCCTTTGGGTCGATGTACCCAAATAGTATTTACTTTGGCTTTCAAGTCTAGTCCCTATATAGGTACTTTGCGGCCAATGTATCTACTATTTGGGTACATGGACTATTAGGGTAGGCCGCGACGTCCTGCCCCTAAGCTCCGGGACCATCAGCTTCTAGGCCCTTAAAGCTTAGGGTTTAGGGTTTAGGGTGAGTATTGGCAGAAGGATTGCTGAGTATGCTTATTATGACAAGGAGTTGAAGATTGAGCAGGGTGCCTCAAAGGCTTCGTCGTCTTCCACAACAATGAGCCTCTACGTGGAGATCGGTGGCAATCCGAAGAAAATTGGTGGTTGCAACCTCAAGACGAGGATTTCCACCATCCGCGATGATGGCGCTTCAAGGGTCACAAGGTGAGCATAACGTCAACGTTGTCCGGCAATGTGTTCGCAAACAAGACCGTCAAGGATCTCGCTGCCTGAGCCATATCCCTGTTTTAACCCTGGCCGTCCTAAATCCAAGTCAGGAAGCTTCCAATCCCAACCAGCCCTTCTCTACATGTCCTCTTCTGGTTGGTATTCCAGTCCTACAAAACACAGAATATTGCTACCTTTCTTCCATTCCCTACTAATCAAAGGTAAGTAAAGGGTGATGTTTTTTTTTTAGCGGCTG